AAAAGACGTCCAGTTGGCTTGTAAATGACATCGGCGACATTCCCCATATAATTTTACATATAAAATGACAGCGATCTTCATTTCGCTGACGCCGTCTTTTTTGGATGTCGTTTTGTATAGATTTTATGTCATTTTATATGTAGAATTATATGGGGAATGTCATCGATCGTAATTTACAAGCCAACTGGACGTCGTTTTTTTCGACATACGGTATAATAATGAATCTAGCCAATCCCCTTCACACTTGCTTACGGATTCAATGAATAATGTAATTTTAATATTAATTTGTGAAATTGTCATTTCAAAATTGTCAAACAAACAAGACGCCGTTTTTTTCGATCATACGGTAATATGTATATACACGTTTAAAACATATATATTTACATTATTTTTTATTTAATTATACATTATACACACGTTAATAAATAAATAATTGTCTTCATAGTCAGTCCAGTGTGACTGTTAAATAAATGTTGCATTATCGACTTAGATATTCTTATAACAAGATAGATATTCTAACAAACAACAATATCAACACAATCTAAACAATTAAACTGCGATGGAAACACTAAACAGGAAAACAGGATACAAAACAACATACAAATGAATAATAAGATAATAGGATGTGCGGTAAATTGTGACGGAATTAGTGCAATACCAAATAAACAATTTTTATTCGTGTCTAAATTAGATCCAAATGTAAAAGAAGGCCAACTCAAGCAACTATTAAAAACTCACTTCCCAGAAGTAGAATGTCAGAAATTAGAATCAAGAAATACCAACTTTTTCTCATCTTTCAAGGTAATTATTGAAGAAACAAATTACGATAAGGCATGGGATCCAGAGATATGGCCTAAAGATGCTCAAGTTTCGCCGTTTTTTCGGAAGAGAACTAATAAATATTTTGCAAAACAACAAAGAAGATATTAATTATGACAATACTACCAGTTCTGTCGGTGCTTACGTATCTAAAGTGCAATATCAGAATGTTTCAAATGATACCTTGAGAAGTATTACATTAATGTATCAAAACCTTAGATCACTTAAGAATAAACTGCATGAAATGCAGGCGTATATATGTGACAAAAAACTTGATATATTGTGTGTCTCTGAGCATTGGTTAGACGGTAGTGAGTCAGCTGAACTTAAAATATCTGGACTTGTTGTGGGTTCAATTTTTTGTAGGGAGAAGTCCAGAGGAGGTGGGGTAACCACCCTTCTTGACTCTACTATTGAACATAATAATATTACTAAAATCTCGAAATTTTCAATAGAAAAAATCATAGAACTTTGCTGTGCTTACATAAAGAGTCTCAATATTTATATATTCTGCGTTTACAGATCTCCGGGAGAAAGTATAGAGGTATTTGTGACTCAACTTGGTAGAGCCATTGACAGTGTGGGACATCGCAGAAAAATCATTATTGTAGGCGATTTTAATGTACTCTTTGGTACAAAACAAAGCGAGTCAGTGTTGGTAAATGGCATGCTGAAATCATATGGATTTCGTGCATTGGTGAGTGCTGGTACGCGCGGCGGAAACTGTATAGATAACCTATTTATTAACTTCGATGTTCTTTTTACCGATATCAAAATAATCGACAATGATCTGTCTGATCACAACTTAATAGAGCTTCGGTTTGGAATATATAGCGATACAAATAACAAGACACTGATGAGGAAATATAGACCTATCACTGAAAGAGGTAAGCAATCTTTTTTTACTTTAGTTGTACTGGTCTTTTATATCTAAAAACAACATAAATGTCAGTACTAAATGCAAACTTTTTTGTGATAAGATTCAAGAAGCTTTTGATGCTTCTTTTCCAGAAAAAATATATAAAAATAAACAAAATCAGACTATGTTTCCTTGGTTTAATGACACACTGCGGGAAATGCGAGAACGTCTGTGTTTTCTTAATGATCTTTTTAAACAATACCCATCCCAAGAACTGCTTGACAATAGAAACTGCTTTAAAAAACAGTATCGAAGGGCAATTAAAGTCGCGAAAAGGGAATATAATGATAGACTTATTTCTAACTCAACAAATAAGTCAAAAAGTATTTGGAAAATCGTGAATAACAACCGTGCAAACAAGCAGAAACAAAATATCTCAATGACAATTGGTCCCGATGCATTTAATGATTTTTTCTCTAGTGTGGCGGATGTCTTGGTCGGAAATGGACAGTGTTCTACACAAGATATTCCATTTCGGATTACTCATCTGCCGGATGAGGAATTCAAGTTCGGAGATGTGGGTTTTAATGAGGTCAGGGACGTAATACTTAACTTAAAAAATAAAGATTCGCGTGACAAATTTGGGTTCAGTGTTAGGATTATAAAGATGATAAGGGAGCTTATCCTTATACCGCTAACAAAAATAATTAATTTGTGCTTTAGGGAATGCATTTTTCCATGTTGTCTCAAGGAGGCTGTTGTTGTACCCGTATTCAAAAAGGGGGACAAGAATGATATATCTAATTATCGTCCGATTTCACTACTTCCTGTTTTTTCAAAAATCATTGAGAAATGTATGGCCTCAAGAATGGCGTTATTCCTTGAAGAGAATTTATTGCTGAACGACCAACAGTTCGGCTTCAGGTCCGGACGCAGCACTGTGGTGGCTATTCTGGACCTCGTGTCATTCATCTTGGATGGCTTTGAGGGTAGGGAACATGTTGGCAAGGTATTTTGCGATTTAAGTAAAGCCTTAAAATTAAAAAACTCGACTATTATAAACTTACTGAGGGAAGTGTTGCCCTTTTGAAATCCTACATGGAGGACAGAATACAGAGGGTGGTCGTTGATGGTGTGTGGTCGAACCCAAGACCTCTTAAAAATGGTGTCCCACAAGGCTCAGTACTGGGCCCTTTACTTTTTTTGATTTATATAAACAACTTACCACATATCCGACGTGACGACCACTACGTTTTATTCGCAGATGATACAGCGGTCTCGGTCAGAGGAAAAGAGCTAAAAGACCTAGAGGGAGGCGCGGATGACGCTCAAGCGAGGGCGGCTGACTGGTTCCGGAAAAATAACCTAGTTTTAAATGAGGCCAAAACAAATCGTGTATTTTTTTCTTTGAGGAGTGTGCCTGAGGACAGTCGCTTCTCCAGGGAATCTGTTCCCTTTTTAGGGGTTCAGTTGGACAGTGAAATGCGATGGAATGCTCATATTGAACAACTATGCAAGTAGCTAAGAAGCGCGCTCTTCGTTCTGCGTAATTTGTCAGGTACTGTTTCTTGTTGCGTATTGCGGACTGCTTACTACGCTCTTCTTAATTCTGTGATGTCCTACGCTGTTTTGGCTTGGGGTCACGCACCTCAGTGGCGCAGGGTTTTCGTGCTTCAGAGGAGAGCTGTGAGAGTTGTCGGAGGATTGGGCTACACGGATGATTGCAGGGAAACCTTTAAAATGTTAAATATACTTACTCTCCCAAATCTTTATATATTGGAAAATCTATTATATGTTAAAGCCAATACGGAAAAATATCCCACAAATGCTCAGCACGGCTCTCATGACACTCGTAGGGCGGAGCACCTCAGTATCCCTATACATAGATTAGAAAGGTCTCGAGATGGACCTAGATACTGGGGTGTGAAGTTTTACAAGTTTTACAACTTCCGGATGGGTATAAACTATTGTCCGATAGGGTGTTTAAGGGCAGGGTTCGTGGCTGGTTACTTGAAAATCCACTGTATGACTCGAGGGAGTTTCTTTCAAGTGATATACATATTAATCTCACTTGATGGAAATTCCTTCTACAACAGAATGTGGGAACTGGAAACTCCCACCCTATGTTTATATTACAATGTATTAACTAGAGTATATAATTGTCATTGTGTACCCATCTAATGTGATGGTCTTAACTTTATGTCTTTTGTGTTAATTTTTAAGTTAATTGTGTTTTATATATGTATTTTATTTTATATTTTGACTTATGTACGCCACTATTTGTATAGTATTGACATCAATAAATTATTCTATTCTATTCTATTCTAATATTATAAAGGTGAGACTATAAAATATAAAATTGTATATGCATTACTCAAAAATGAACGATATATTGGTTTACGTTTTAATAAATATTTTGTATCGTCTAGGTACAAACTAATTTCTGATGCTACGCCATTGGAGAATTTCGCGTAGTGAGAAGTGGCCTCACTTTCAGCTGCCGTGGTCCCCTCTCTTTCCTTGTCAAGATTTCCTAACATTGTCATTCGTTTTGACACTTTAGTTTTGTATTAGGAGTTTTTTTGGTTTAAATAAATAGTGTTGTGATACTTTAACCTTGAAAATCTTTACTAGCAGTCGACCATTGTTCTTTTTAGAACTTCTCTTGAGTTTAAATCTCTTTGATTAAAAGAAAATATATAAAAGTGGGTAACGCTGTGCCTGTCAAGCTTAATCACGTGACTAAAAGTTTATTTTGTATTAACTGTACAATTAATAAAGTGTACAAACAAAAAAATATAAGTGTTGAGTAACTGACAATTTTCAAAATGGTAAAAAATTCAAAAAGACCCCGTATCTCGCAGTGAAAATAATGAAAATGACTAAATTTAAAAATTTAAAAACAAATGTTTTTGAATATTTTAAATAGTTTGTTAACTTTTTAGAGAAAACAAATGTTAGAGTAAAGAGGACCGTGTTGTTAGGTGACGGTTGAAACAAAGCACCAATTTAAAAATGATTTTCCAAACCTGACTCAATATTTTCTAAATTATCTCACGCTATTTTTATTAAAACAAAAATAGCCACCAAACAATTTAATTAACAGGCAAAGTCTATATTTAACTTACTCATACATAAATAATAACTTTAATTTTCCATAAAACACATATTTATTTGTTTAACAGCCAATACATCAGCGAAACAAGTCAAATTATCCTACATTACTAGTTGTCGGACAAAGAAATTAACTTTACTAAACAACTGTTTACAAATTGCGTACGTAATTCCGTTAAAAGTATTTTAAATTTTTATTGTTCAAAGAATATTTCTTTGCAGTTCGTTTAGTGCAGTCAATTTTGCTTAAAAAATATTTTTCAAATGGTTGATTTCATACGAATTTTGCTTATATTATTATTGCAATATGGTGTATATGGTAAAGGTTTAGTTCCAACAGACAAATTAGTAAGTATAATTGGGTATAAATTAATAAATTGGGAAAACTATTCATAATAATTAACCTAGTTCATTAAAAAATGGAAAATATAATAATTAATAATGGGTACATTTAACTATCCATTGGAGTGTCTAGATCATTATGAGAAATCATATTTGGTAAATGATATATCATATCATCGAAAAAATGGATCTTCATTTCCAAGTCAACTCCGACACCTTTTTTGTTTCGATTATACAGTGTGTCCACGGATTGACTCCCAAAGAGGGAAAATTAATTAAATTTTTATTCGTGGGTTTATGAAAAAAAATTATTCTTCATAAAAACTCCTGCTTGAGCTTAAACGACCAACAGGCATATTATTTTTACAAATGTATATACCGAGTGTTAAAAAGTTTAAAAATATGGAAAACTCTAAGAACAAAGTATTTGTATATGTAAAAATACGATGAAAAGTTATTAATAAAAGTTCTAGGGATTGAAAAACCACACCACGTTGCCAAATTTTATCTCACTACCTAAATGTACAGGGGTTGGTAAAAGATTCCTCTCCATATAAAATACTATTTACTCTAAATTAACTTAATTTTTTAACTTTTGAATCCTTGTTTACCTTGACGCAATTTCATTACTTCCCTTTTTAAATTAACCAATGGAGGCTATAAAATAAAACTTGTACACCATTAATTATTAAACTTTTTTTTAAAACAAATGTAAAATAAAAAAATATTGTTGCAAACAAATAACAGATAATAAAGGCAGGTTGTCAATTTAAAAAAAATCGGTTCGAAAGTTTCTCCACCAACCTCTTCGAATCGTTGAACTTTTTTAATAAACGCCCTATACGCGTTTCGTATTTCTTGCAACGGGATATTTTGAATCACTTGTCTAATTCTGGTTTTTAAATTATCAAGATCAGGTTCCAAATGAGTTCCATAACTTTCTGGGTAAGGTAGCCCCATAAGTAAAAGTCCATTATTGTAAGATCGGGACTTCTTGGCCAAGGAATTGGTCCATATCGTCCAATCCAACGCTCGGGAAATTGTCGATCTAGCCATTCCCGCACAATGACAGTAGAATGTGCTAGATGACCATCTTGTTGAAAATATGTTATTCGTCTATCAGTAAGTGACATATTATCTAAGTAATCAAATAAAGTTGTTTGGAGTACTGTCTTCTGCAATTAATTTGAAAATTTGAATTTTCCGTTTCCGACCAGAAGCGTAAATTTTGAGAACTAACTACTCCATTAGTTGAGAATGTTGCTTCATCGGAAAAAATAATATTATGGAAGATCTATCAGAAATGTCTATCTTGTAGACATTTCTGACCAATCCATAAACAAAAGTCAAGCCTTTTAGCATCGTAATTCGCTTCTAGAGTATGAATGAATTTGGGTTTATATGCCCCGACCTTATTAGCCTTGAAAATTATTTGTAAATATGATTTACTAACGTTCCCAATTTGGGATGCTCTGATTCTTAGCGATGTTTTGGGGAAACGTCGAACAGAATTCAGCGCGATAGCTGCCACAGCATTTTCTTCTTCATTGATAGGAGTTTTTTTTTTATTTTTAACATTCAAAACGCTTCCTGTTGTTCTAAATTTGGAAACAACGGATTTTACTGTTTTGTGGTCAATGATAAGATTTGGCCATTTCTCACTAACCATTTTTGTTACGTACGAGTATGAAATATTTTCTTCTAAGCCGTAACATTGAAGAATAAACACTTTTTGTTCTAACATTAGCATTTTGACTTTTTTACTGTCATAAACTAAACAATGTGACATTGAAAAAAGAATTATTATTGTTAAAAAAACTTTGGTTATGTTTTTTTTTAAATTAACAACCTGCCATTATTATCCATTATTTGTTTGCAATAATGTTTTTTATTTTTCATTCGTTTTAAAAAAAGAAGTTTAATAATTAATCGTGTACGAGTTTTATTTTAAAGCCTCCATTGGCTAATTTAAAAAGGGAAGTAATGAAATTGCGTAAAGGTAAACAAGGATTTAAGACTTATTCAAAAAAAGTTAAGTTAATATAGAGTAAATGGTATTTTATATGGAGAGCAACCTTTTACCAATCCCTGTACATTTAGGTAGCGAGATAAAATTTGGACGTGGTGTAGTTTTTCAATCCCTAGAACTTTTATTAATAACTTTTCATCGTATTTTTACATATACAAGTACTTTGTTCTTAACGTTTTCCATATTTTTTAAACTTTTTAATACTCGGTATATACATTTGTAAAAATAATATGCCTGTTGGTCGTTTAAGCTCAAGCAAGAGTTTTTATGAAGAATAACTTTTTTTCATAAACCCACGAATAAAAAAGTTTTTTCCTCTTTGGGAGTCAATCCGTGGACACACTGTATATTATTTAGAAAATTTATATTAGAGTACAGAACAGGGTGAGTCTTAAATTAGTGCAAATATTTTTAGCGCTAGTAGATCTCGATAAAAAGAAAAACATATTTTCTCATTACCGTTTTTTAAATTAATCCAAAATAACCTAGATATTTTATTTTGAAAATTTAAAAAAGAATTATTTTGTTTAAATGTTGTGAACAACTGAATCAATTTAATCTGTCTAATATGTTTTTTAACTAAAAATTAAAATAAATTTTAAAAAAAATTTCAAAAAATTCCAAATTTTCAATTTTTTTTCTTCGCGCAAATAACCTCTTAGACGTGTCTCTGAGGTCGAAATATACTACCCCTAAAAATATTTCCACTTATTTAAGACTGACCCTGTATAGTTATAAGGTATAAAGAGATTTGTACTCTTTCTACCTTTACACTCATACAGGTTAAGTTACAAATAAGTGCAAATATTTTCAGAGATCTACAAATCTCGATAAAAGAAACAGATCTTCTCTTTGCCGTTTTTCAAATAAGTTCAAAATACCCGAGTTATTCAACTTTGAAAATTAAAAAAAATATATATTTATTTTTAAAAATTTTGAAAGTCACCGGGTTTTTCCTGTTTTTGCATCCCTTTTAGTGCCGTAACCACGGTAAAAACAGAGATTAATAAACTATACGGTGGGAAAATTTGCGATGAATTATATCCACGTTGTCTTGGGGTATGTTTTCCCATTCTGCTAATGCTGCATCAATAAGCTGTGCGAGATTTCCTTGTTTCGACGAGCTCTAACCCTTCTTTTGAGCTAGTCCCATAAGTGTTCGATAGGGTTTAGATCTGGTAAATATGAAGGCCAGTCCAAAACTCTGACACCTTCCGTTTCAAGACATTCTCTAGTCACTCTGCTGATATGGACAAGAAGTTAAAATAATCTCCAATTGCAGCTCTCCAAAGACTAACGATTGGGTCTAGCACCAAATCAACATATCTCCGACTCGTTAAAATTTGTTGAAGTGGTAACAATGGAGTTTTTGCTCCCAGTATAATACCTCCCCAGAACATTACAGTTCCTCCTTTATATCTTGGTACATTTGGCAGCCTGAAGGCTCGCTCGTCTTCCTGGACCTCTGAGAACCCGAATTCGATGGTTATTTGATCTTAGGCCAATTCTGGTCTCATCCGAAAAAAGAACATTTTTCCAATTCTCACTTGTCCAGTTTTGATGTTGAAGGCATCAATTTAGCCGGTCAATTTTATTTTGCCGATATAACTGTGGGATCCATAACTCTCTCCTACTGTAAAACCCTCGTGCACGAAGCCTTTTTCTTATATTTTCAACTGAAACGTTCACACTTGTAGCTGCCAGAAGTTGTCTTTGTAGCTCTGGATAAGAAACATTGGGATTTATTCTAGCAATATAGCACACAATGTCGGTCTTGTTGTTCAGTTGTGACTCTTTGACGACTTTGTCTGGGCCTATACTTGTGTGTTCCTAATTCCAAGTACCTTGCATATGTTTTCGATACAACACCCTGGGTAAAGCCTACTATCTCTGCTACGTCTCTCTGGAACATTTCATGTTCGGTGAGAACAATAATTCTTCCCCTCTGTACATGTTAATCCAACATAAAGCATTTTTTAATTTTTTTGGATTGAATGAAAATTACCGGACAATCATGATTTTACTACTGAACACAAAAGTCAAGAAAATAAATCGCAGCAGAAGTTTATTCTTTATTACCATGTTTATTTACAACAAAAAGCCTTATCTTAAAGTTGTATACCAATTTTTATTCTTGCAAGAAATTTAGTCAAAAATAAAGAGTGCTTCCATATAAGTTTTGTTGTGTGTATATTACCCTAAAAATATTTGCACTTATTTAAGACTCTCCCATTAATGATTATACCTCACGATCTATAAAAAAAGGTATCATAGTGGCTTTTCATATGACAATTGAGGATAATTTCATAATTTGTATCGGAAAAAGCCTTACATTTCATTTATTATAAATTGACATAAAAACTGACCATTAATTTTTATTTTAAAAAAAGTAATTTATTTCTGGAGTGACAAAAATTAAAAAAAATGTTTCTTGTGTTCTTTAGTCTTTAAATATTGTAGATACTGATAAAAATAAAAACCACTTAAATAATAAATAAATTTACTACAAACAAAAAAATGATTTATTTATATTTTTATAGAACAACGACCTTCAGCTTACGTTACAAGATGGTATCATTCAAGGGCAAGAAGAAACCACGATATCTAATAAGACCTTTTATAGCTATGTTGGTGTACCTTACGCCAAACCACCCATAAATGATCTTAGATTCAGGGTATGTAAATTTTAATGGTTCCTCTCTGTTTTTAGTGTCATTTCACATAATTATTATTTGACTGTCAATTTGTAGAATGTACGGGGGGGGGGGGCGGATTTTACAGATCCGCGATCTTACAGATCTATTAAATCGCAAAATAAAAACACTAAATCACCACAATACACCAAAATACTTTTACTTTTACACTGGACGCGCGTTTCGCTAACCATGACCATTTTCGCATCATCAGCAGATGATTATAAACTAAAGTACAATCCACAAGTTGAGCGTTTATATACTCGCCCAATGGGCACCGAGTGGGCGTGGCATATTTGATTTGCCACGCCCATCTGAGACAGTTTTACAGAGGGTAGTTCTCCATCTGCGATATCATTGGTATCAATGTTTATGGCCCGAATGGTTATTATCTCGGCTCACTCAGCCATGAGGTGTTTTGGTGTTTCTCCTTCTTCTTCTTCATGTGCCTTCTCCTCATCGGAGGTTGGCGACCATCAATTGGTATTCCTCCCTGTTTTGAGCCAAACGAATAATTGCACTAGCCTGTCCTATATTAAACTACTGGCGTAAATTCCGCAACCAGGAGAACCGTTTACGCCCAATGCCTCGTCGTCCTTCAATCTTTCCCTCAACGATCAGCTGTAGGAAACTATATTTGTTATTTCTAAAAATATGACCAAAATGTGCTGCTTGCTGTCGTTTTATTGTAGTCAATAGTTCTTGGTTCTTACACATTCTTTCTAATACTTCGAGATTTGTTGTTCGTTCGGTCCAGGATATTTTCAACATTCGTCGGTATAACCACATCTCAAATGAATCCAAGTGTGACATAGTCTGTACCTTCAACGTCCATCCCTCGACTCCGTATATCAATATAGACAATACATAGCATTTCGTAGCTCGCCATCGAGTAGTCAGATTCATGTCTCGGTTGCAGAGTAGAGTTTTCATTTTGAAAAAAGTGTTTCTGCCTATTTCAATTCCATGTATGATTTCTTCATCAGGATCCCATTTATCATTCAGCCAGCAACCCAAGTACTTAAATCTTCTTACCTTTTCTATAGTTTGATCTTCTATTTGTATCCTGATATTTTCAATATTTAGTTTCCTGATAATCATAAATTTATTTCGCCATTTTCCCCAAATATTCTGCATTCGCCGTTGTCTCCTAGCTTCAATCTACTGAGATGTTCTTTGAGGAGGCAGTATCTTGTTAAAAACCCCGTGACAATCCACAAATTGTTCTTACTTAAATCTAGGAAAATCTTTGATTGTTCTCGGTCGTAAGTTCTGAGAAATTGATCGAGTGTCTTAGACCGTTGGAGAATTCCCATTCCAGGTTACGTATGGAGTCTTCCAAGTTCTTGAGTTCCTCTTTAAGTTAGTTTCCACTTGGGAAACAGAACAGTTCTGGTCCAGTCAATGGAGCGTTCGCTCCTTTTTAAGATAGATCGTTTGCCTTTTCATTGCCTTCTATCCCTTGGTATCCACTGAGTAGGAGTTAGTTATTTTCTTAATCTAATTTGTTCAACTTTGCTAGGCATTCTATGACTAATAAATAAACAGATTAAATTGTAAATTCAAAGAAAGCATTGCTATGAATTCTTTGGATCCTTATATTTAACCAAAGACACGATAACACTCTTTACAAAGTTAAGAAAATATTAAGATTTACTATTCTTTCTCTAAATATCAAACATATACCTACGAATAATGTTACATTCACAATAACGATTAACTATTATTTTATTATTATTGCCAGTTTGAGAAAAATGCATTCTTGCTTTTTTTTGGAAAATTTTTGCTTGTTCTAAAATGGTTTAATCCCGTTTATAGTTTTCCAAATTTCCATACCGTTTTAGAGAAAATTAAAAAAAAAACATTAAAATTCTTTTGAATATTAGTCATAAAAATCAAAGGGTATTTCTATGGTAATATCATTTCCATTTCATTTTTTGACAGATTGTTATTGATAGAATTAACGTCATTGACTATAATTAACATAATATTTTTTGCTGTTTTAAAATGTTAAGGAACCATAAATTTTATTTAGTTCAGTGCTACAGAAAGGAGGATAATCTTTATCGGAAAAGGTGATACTTTAACAATGGCAGAAAATATGACGTTAATCCAAATTAATAATAACTATCTATCAAAGAATGACATCGAAATGATATTACCATAGAAACCGCTTTTGATTTTTAGAGCTTATAAAAATCCAACAATATTTTCATGTTTTTTTTAATTTTCTATAAAACAGTATGGAAATTTGGAAATGTATAAACGGGATTAACCATTTTAGAACAAGAAATTTTTTATATGAAGAATGCATTTTTCTCAAAATGTCAAAAATAATAAAAAAGTTTTTCCTCTTGTAAAGACAAACCGGTGACGTACTGTATATATTTATTTATATTCAGTTTATAATTATTAACTTGTTAATACTTTAATTTAGGAACCGCAGCCTCCCGAAAAATGGACTGGAATATTGGATGCTACAGTCGAAGGCCCATTTTGTGCTGGCGTAAATATAAGTGCTATGGTAAAGATGGAGTTTAAACCCCAAGGAGAAGAAGATTGCTTATATTTAAATGTTTATACGCCAAGGGTATATAATCACAATCCGACAGATTTTTTCTTCTTGAATTTCAAAACTAATATATGCTTCAAAATTTTTGAAGCATAATATATTAGTTTTCCATTAAAAATCTGTCGAAATGTTAAATTCTTATTTGCATACGTACTTGATGTAACGCTTTAGGATCCCAAAGAATCGAATCCAAGAAATCTACTTCCAGTATTAGTATTTTATTATGGAGGAGCTTTCCTTGGTGGCGGACCAGTAAAAGATCGTTATGGTGCAGATTTCTTCATGGAAAATGATGTTATTGTTGTACTTCCTCATTTCAGAATATCTATTTTTGGTAATAAAATTAAAAAAATTATAAATTATTATATCGTACGACTAACATTTTACCTTTGAAGGTTATCTGAGTACAGAAGATTTAGAATGCCCTGGTAATTGGGCAGTTAAAGACCAACTTGCTGTGCTAAAATGGGTTCAAACGAACATAAAGCGTTTTGGAGGTGACCCTAGCAGGGTAACTATAGCTGGGCAAAGTGCTGGAGCTGTCAGTGTGAATTCCTTGTTTATGTCGCCAAAGGCAAAAGGATTGTTTCACAGTACGAACTTTTGACATTTTTAACATCGTTGGCTTAAATCCGGCTCATCAGGGCCAATTTTATTTAAATAGTGTAAAAAACATAATGTAGAATACATTCATTCAGTTACAATAGCAGATAAGGTTTTAAGTCCAAATTGATCTCTACCGTGATCAATTAAAGCAGCAATACCCGATACTTTCGAACTTAAAACCATCTCTACTAGAGTAAACGTCAATAAACAATGATAATATAACTTTTCAATGACAGGAACATTACCAAAACAATACAAACTATTTTGTACGTGTGTCGATAAGAACCAAAAAAATGCATGCTTTCAATGCTAAAATTGCTATAAATCGTTATAGACTGTGAGCTGGATACATAAAAAACCTTATCGTTACATGGCCGATTTTTCTTGGTCAATTTTTTCGATTACTGTATGTCGCTGATTTAGCCACGATCTTTTTGTCTGCCCTTTTGTATACGGCATTTAAAATAAATAAATATAACATTCTACCAATCGGCATGCATGTATGCCGTATTTTTTTTTTTGAATTGTGGCCTCCGGAAAAAATATCGTGCCTCTTTCGTGTTGTCTGCCGGCATTTTGGCCACGAGAAAAATGTCTGCAAACAATTTTTCACGTTTCTTAATAATAAATAAAAGACGTGTGTTAAGTTAGCACAACCACTTTAAAAAAAATATATGAAACTCTATGGAATAATTGCCGTAAATTAGCCGTAAATTTGCCGTGAAAACGAAAAATTTGCCGCTCTTCGCTAAGTATGTTAAATCGATGGTTGTGCTAAGTTAATATTAAGTTAGCACAACCACCATTGGAAATCAGTGAAAGAACATAGTTAGAAATTTTATAGTATAGCAGGAATTTGCCGTTTTTTGCCGTTCTTAGATATAATTAAAAAAAATATCCTCCGATCATTCTCTATCCCCCTGCAACAAAAAATGTAATAGCGTCAAGGTCATATATTAAGTTAGCACAACCATTCCTGTAAACGTTAAGTAAAATGTCTGAAATTAGTTGGAACAATTGCCGTAAATTAGCCGTAAATACACCATGCAAACCAAAAATTTGCCGCTCTATTATTTGTTTACAAAAACGACAATTTTTTTTAATTGACGTCTGTAAAATCTACAGGGTGATTCAGGCTTCCGAAAAAACTCTATGTTAGGTTTTGGTTTGTAAATTTAATTTCATTTTTTTATGTAATATGGAGGCAATGGTAACGCATATTTTAAAAATATTTTTGTCAGCATACAGGGTGATTCGAACATATTTTCAAACCAAAGTTGTATATTTTTAAATGGAATACTATATATTTTTTAGCTCAGTGGGTTTGCCACTAAATTTCTGTTTCAAGAATATCATAATGTCATATACTATACCTAATGGTTTTTGAAATATAAACGTTTTTAAACTAAATTTACTGCTTATTTAAAGCCATATGAAAATTCTAAATTCAAAGAATTTTAAAACATTTAACAGGAAGTTATATTTAGAATTTTCAGAGGACTTTAAATAAGCAGTAAATTAAGCTTAAAAACGTTTATATTTCAAAAACCATTAGGTATAGTATATGACATTATGGTATTTTTGAAACAGAAATTTAGTGGCAAACCCACTGAGCTAAAAAATATATAGTATTCCATTTAAAAATATACAACTTTGGTTTGAAAATATGTTCGAATCACCCTGTATGCTGACAAAAATATTTTTAAAATATGCGTTACCATTGCCTCCATATTACATAAAAAAATGAAATTAAATTTACAAACCAAAACCTAACATAGAGTTTTTTCGGAAGCCTGAATCACCCTGTAGATTTTACAGACGTCAATTAAAAAAAATTGTCGTTTTTGTAAACAAATAATAGAGCGGCAAATTTTTGGTTTGCATGGTGTATTTACGGCTAATTTACGGCAATTGTTCCAACTAATTTCAGACATTTTACTTAACGTTTACAGGAATGGTTGTGCTAACTTAATATATGACCTTGACGCTATTACATTTTTTGTTGCAGGGGGATAGAGAATGATCGGAGGATATTTTTTTTAATTATATCTAAGAACGGCAAAAAAAACGGCAAATTCCTGCTATACTGTAAAATTTCTAACTATGTTCTTTCACTGATTTCCAATGGTGGTTGTGCTAATTTAATATTAACTTAGCACAACCATCGATTTAACATACTTAGCGAAGAGCGGCAAATTTTTCGTTTTCACGGTAAATTTACGGCTAATTTACGGCAATTATTCCACATAGTTTCATACATTTTTTTTAAAGTGGTTGTGCTAACTTAACACACGTAAATAAAAACTATTTGGTAATTATAACTCGTGTACCTTATAACATTTTTAGTGTCAAAATTTCACCCTTTCGATTGGCCGCCCCCGCTTTAAGCCCCGGGATCGCGTTGGTAGACATGACTTTTCATAGTGGCAACACAAAAGGGTACTTCACAAGAAAAATTCGCCATGTAACGATGTTAGGGTTTTTTATGTAGCCAGTTCTTAGACTATTGCCGTCTTATTCAAAAACAAATGTCTCCAATAAAAATAAAGCTACTGAGATGAGTGAAATAAACAGACTATCCAGAAAAGACGTACCTAGATGATAAAATAAATTTTAAATTTCTTATTTTGTTAACATATTCCACAGGGTGTTTCAAACTATCACCAAAATATCAAAATTTTGTTTTCCCTCGTACAATTGACAGACGGAAACTTTCAATATTAATTTAGTAAGAGATACTAAAAAGTCAAATAATTTATCACCAAATTGCTTAAAAAATCATCAAAATCGGCCTGTTAATACAAAATATATTAATCTTTAAATTACAGGTGCCCGTTTTTCGTACCGGTTAGTGTAGATATTAGATAGAATACATGGATAGCATAATGATTCTTAATGCTTTTATTCAAAATGTATGCTTAACTGCGCACAAATTATCTAAACTCATCGGCAAAAGTCTTACACCCCCTTACTTTTTTAATAAAAAAATACATTTCAAACTAATTTTTCGTGGAAATCAATAGATGCTAAAGTTATGCTAAAAAATAACACAAAAAAGGGAACACTTTCACCAAGCTTAATATAATATATTTTGCCAAAATACAAAAAAATGTTTGACAAAAAAGAGAAAGTAAATAAATAAATAATAGATTCTGACAAAATTAAGGTTACTAATATAAAGTATTGCCTCCTCAATTTTTTATCAAGTCGTCGGGGCATCCCCACTATAAGTAAAAAAGTAAAAACAGTAGAGATTTCAGTTAACGCCTCCTTTTTGCTGCCAGGGCTAATCTGGACGGGGCCTACTTTGTTTACGCGGAATCCGAACTGCGGTCCTCGGCCATATCATGGTAAATGGCCTACCGACTTGGCAAGTGTCCAAATCGACTTTTACTCACGAGATATCCGATCTCATCCGGCCTCGAACCGGCGTGAATGAGCAGAGTGTGTCAATAGATTTTACACTTTTGCCTTTTTTTGGACAACAGCACGATACAGAGTTTCGAACCGGTTACCCGTCCATCCACTAGTATCGCCTTACGTCGCTTAACTTCGGTGTTCTAATGGGAACCAGTGTTTCGACATAGCTGAGGCCGTTGCCCCCACTCGCTGACGATAGTCATCACTGATCAAACCTATCCTAGTTTCGTCAGTGAAAATTACGTTTCTCCACTGAGGTAATAACCAGTTCTGGTGTTCTCTAGCCTACTGTAGCCTCCTTTGCCTATGGTGTAAAGTTAATAGAGGGACTCGCAGAGGACGCCTACACCGCAATCCAGCATTAGAAAGTCGCCTGGAAATGGTTCGGCTTGATATCACTCGGTGGTAAGTTCGTTGAAACTGAGATCGTAGCTCTCGAATTGGAACTGACCGATTTCTTCTGGCAAATTGAGCGAAGTAGCGATCCTGTCGTTCAGTCGTTACCCTTGTACGGCCCAACCTAGGACGAGATCTTACATTTCCGGTGTCCATATACCGTTGTATAATTCTGCTTACAGTACTTCTCACTAAATTTAAACGATCAGCAATTTGATGCCTGCTGAGGCCTTTTTCATACAAAGCGATTATTCGGGCCCTATCGAAGACAGATATTTCGTGCCCTGGCATTTTTGTCGCCTTTCACAACACTTACTACAAGATTGAACTAGAACTGAGAAACAAAACTTGACCGCAAATAGCAAAACCATACACATCCCATCGATAAGTTTTCTTTCATTGCTTTTATAACCTATTTTTTGTAGACACATATTAAGGTATTTGTACACATAGCCACAACAATATGCTATGCAAAGAAATAAATTTATCTGGGGGGTGCAAGACTTTTGCCGATGATGAATGTATTTAACTTTGGTGAATCTATATAAACTGTGGATATAAACTATACAAACTGTGGATACACACTGTATTATATTTATGATCTTGTAATAGGAGCAGTAATTATGAGCGGTTCTAGTCTGTGCTTTTGGGCTTACCAAACAGATTCAAGAAAAATCGCTTTCGACTTGGGCATCGCACTAGGCATCGAAACAAATGACACAAAATATTTAATGCAGGAATTACGAAAAGTAGATAGTAACGCCATAATGGAGGCTCAGCTGCCAGTGATGCTAGTGGTAAATTCTTATATTATTATTTCTTATGTTATTTTGAGTCGAAAAGAAAACAACACGAGAAAAAAAATATTTTTTTTTCAAACGTCACAAAAGTATTGTTACGGACTCCGTGGGTCCATTAATTTAGACTCACGATAAAATACTTAACGAATTTATTTTTCTCACTCTGTACACACAACTTATACTATTTACAACACAATTTATGCAACTACTATTACTCTAACGGTTCTGGTACCTTCGCCAATTAATTTACAATTTAAAACGCGGTATTATCAAACTTCAAACTGTCCAACTGCCAAGCGCGGGCCTTTATATACCCCTACTGACTGTTTCTCGAACCTTCTGTAATTTTCGATATTTTTCCGCCATCTACCAGTAAATTCTATTGTCTGATTCGCTTACTTGTCGACTAGATTAAGAGATGGCGCCTAAAAATATCTTTTACTTTTTGGTGAATTCGCCATGTTTCTTGACGCGTTGCGGCAATGTAGGCAACCAGCAATACAGTTTAGCGCCACATACACCTTGACAGAATTAATTTTTGCGACATGATTGAAAATATAAAATAGCGATTTATGTAACAGGTTGCGAAATGAATGTATTTTAAGCATGGGACGCAAAATTGTCGACAATGCATCGAGTGCTTCAAACACTCTTTTCGCAACGAATTTCGTATATACAAGATTTTTTGTGAAAGCGGATAATTATTTTTAAACATTTTTTAAAATGTTCCGGTAATCGGTTTATAAGGCATTGTTTATGCATTGTTTAATGACAAAGTTCTGTCAGGTTCAAACGTCGCCGTAATTCCTACAAAGTTTTGTGAAAAAATTAGTGATAATAACGAGTCTTTGGATATTCAACAAGCTGCTGAAACTGCGCTATCCACGTATGTGCCCGAGAAGTCGAAAAACTTATACGAGACCACCTACAACAACTTTGAAACCTGGGGTCAAAGAAAAATATGTTGAGAATTTCACATAAAAGGTATTGCTAGCCTATTTCCTGAAGTTATCCACTACCTTAAACTCGTCAACTCTGTGGAGTAAATATTCGATGCTCTGCACCATGATTTACCTGAACAGAAACGTAAATATTAGCAAATTCACAAACGTTATTGCATTTTTAAAAAGAAAAGCTTCCGGATATCAGGCAAAGAAATCAAAAGTATTTACTAAACTGTTTTAAAAAACTGCTTTATGAAAGAAGTCGATGACAAAGAGTTCCTGTTAGCTAAAGTGGTCTTAATCATTGGAGTATTTGGAGCATGTGAGGGAAGAAATCACGTTTTTGACCGTAGATGCCATTAAAAATTTGTCAGTCATTTATTAGTGTGAAGATTCCGTATACCCATTTTCCAAGAGTGTTTACGATTACTGAGGGTGAGATGGTATCAATTTCTTCCATGTATTTCGTAAGTAAGTACGCAAAACTTCGACCACATGTGACACATCCACGATTTTTCTTGACGTATCGAAAAAATCAATGCTGTACCCTGCCAGTTGGAATCAATACAATTGGGGGTATGCCAAAAAAGATAGCGGAATTTCTTGGACTCTCCAACGCCATTTAATACACTGGTCATTGTATCCGGCGCAGCTCTACAACAATGCTGGCAGATTCAGGAGCGTACATAACAGCTTTAAAGCGACATGGAGGTTAGCGATCAAGCTCGGTTGCTGAAGGTTACCTACATTGAAAATTCAATTGAACAGAAAACCAAAATAGCAAAAAGAATTATGGGACAGAGAGATGCGCCAAATTAGAAATTAAAAGCAGATTACGTAGAAGCAGAAGCTACCAGCATTGCCAGTACAAGAAATTTACTTATTCCGACTCCTACAACTTGCATTTCTCTTAGAGACGATAAGTTGGATGCCTCTTGTATTCACTTTAATAATAACTTATTAATAGTTAACACTTTAGTTAGGGTTACTTAAGTGTCACTTTTAGATACTAGTGCCCAAAAGAATGTCATTTCGAATCTCAAATAAATATCAAAAACTGTCAATTTCGAAAAGCTTTCACAAAAAGTCATTTTAACGCCTAGGCATAAAAGTAAAGCACTTTTGTGTCTAAGCACAAAAGTACGAAAATATGTTATTAAACTGACAAAGAGTCAAATTCAACAAGCCGCCCGTAACCATAGTTTCTCAATATATAATTACATACAAGGTATTACTTTTAAATATTTTTATATTATTTGGAACATTTAAAATTTGTTGTTCTATTCGGAGTAAAAATTACTTTTTATGGCTCGCCTATATGTCAAACGTACAGCCACAAAAAGCCACAGAACAGAACTGGGGAACAGAACATTGCCACAGAAAGTGTCATTTTTGCTCCTAATAAAACAATATACTATTTCTAAATTTTCGGTGTTTTATTTTGATTTTGTTTTTAGAACTTTATGTCAGCACTTACTAATGGACTACCATTTACACCAGTAGTAGAACCAGATCATGATGGTGCGGTTTTAACTAATTATACATTCAGCCTCCTTGAAAAGGGTAAATTCAATAAAGTACCAGTAATGACAGGGGTTACATCTTTGGAAATGTTAATATATAAAAAAGGTAAACATTTTAATAATGAGAAAGTACTACTATAAAACTATTAATATTAACGTTAATAAAATCCTCTCTTAGAACAATATCAATATTATTTGTTTATAAGTTAACAGAACAATTTATATCGATCTAAACTTCACAGTGGCTGGCAAAAGCGTTCTTTGATATCTTCCTCGTTAATAACATAAAACTCAAAATTATTGCTCGAAATGATGGAACAACTGTGATAAAATTTATATACCGAGTGTTTTTTAAAAGTGGCTCACCCCTATAACTTTTTTATTTTTTCAGTTAAAAAAAACAGATTTGGTATGTTTGTATATGACATAAATTAGGATCGATTGACATAATCAATTGTTTTCGGTAATTTCCGGTTTCACCGGAAATTACTACAACTTTTAATTTTTAAATGACACCAATGGTATTTTTACCTCATCTGAGAGAAAATGGCATTCTCAATCCTTTCATATGTCAACTTTTGACATTTTTAATTAAAAAAGTAGGATCCTAAATTTTAATTTAGAGTGCCATAGCCATAAATGTAACACTAATTTGACTCCAAATACCAAGTATATGATACAAAATTAAAATTAAAAATAAGATTTGGGCATCTTTTAAGGGACCAGGACAAGATACAAAAACATTAGACGATCAAATCTATTCTTCCTAAGGCTCCTTGATTAAAAAGTTTTTAATACAGCCATGACACACTAGATTGAAATTTAAAATACGATTTATTAAGCGAGAATATCAAAAGTTGTCATATAAATGTCATTCATTTTATCACATACTAAACCAATGAACACAGAACAAACACAAAATGTAATATACCAAATACCATGTAAATGCGATAAAGTTTACATTGGTGAAACATCTAGACCCTTAAATGTTAGAATTAAAGAACATAAAGATTATTTAAGAAAGGGAGATTTTCACAAATCTAAGATTTGTCAGCATTCAAGGGACACAGGGCACAGAATAAATTTTAATAACGCCAAAATTATAATGAAAGAAGCGATAGCCTCATAAAGAAAAATAAAAGAGGCTTTTTTAATTCGATCTAATAAAAAATAAATCTATTGCTCATGCATCTGTAGATGTTAGTAATGTATGGCAATCGCTTCTTTGATTTTGAAGAACATAACATGAATAAACATAACATACATAAAATTTTAAAAATAATCATACAGAAAGTTTGGGGCTTTTTGGTTTTACCTTATTAATTAATTGTTATCAGGTAGTAATTGTTAATTTTGAAGTTTAACTTGATATAACGTCATTTTAACAGAACGTCAATGGTTTCTTGCAGACGTATCTGTTTTACAAAAGTAAAGTGTTCTCGAATAGTTGAATTTGAGTATTGTAAATAGTTTTTTTTTATTCTTTGTATTTTTTTTTGCTTCCGACGACGCGACGGAAAGATATAAACTTTCCGAAACGTTAAGCATTTTTTTCTTTGTTAGGCAAATTTGTATAACTGTAAACATAACTTCTGACAAGCAGTGTCCGTTTAGGTTTAACGCAGAAGTGTTTACAAACATTAACTATTTTATTTTGTAGATTTTCAGTGGCAGTGGCGAAATACCTATAAGGGATTTTTTTGGAGAGATGAATCCGCCACATAGGTATAGACATTTTTTAAAATATCATTCTATTCAGAATGTCTTTTTTGAATGAAATTTTCTATCAAATAAAGTAAAAAATGAGAGGCAGAGGGTAACATTTAAAAATAAAAAGTTCTAGATGTGAGCCACTTTTGAGAAACATCCGGTATAAAAGTTAATGTGCTTTTGGGTAGAACTTTCACTCTATTTCATTTAATTTTGAGTAAAGAATGATCGATGGCAACTTTTGTAGAAGCATTTTATAAATAAGATTAACTCTGTACATATTAAGGAAATACAGAACTTTTTAATTTAGGTACTTAGGTAACAATCTATTTGTATCTTTTCTTGCAGTTTTCGATATGGCTAGACCACTATTGTCCCTATTCGACTTAAGTCCAGGATTATTGGTCAGATTTACTAAAAATAACCAAGACAGAAGAACAGTAGGACAAAAAATGAAGGAATACTTTCTAGGCAATAAAAATTTTGCTGATTCCACAGATCGAGAACTGATGATGGTACTCATACAATACTTAATCGATATTTTAATAAGTTTAATAAATCGTTTTCTTGTCCTCTTATGTTTTTAGCTCTTGACAGAAGATGTTTATTGGAGACCGGTTCGTAAAATGGCCGAATTGATATCAAAATACAGTCCAGTTTATTTCTATAAGTTTTCTTATGAAGGAGAGTTGGGTTTGACAATAAATTCCCTGTTTAATGGAATAACTGACAGGCCGTTTAGAGGTACGAAATTTATTTACAAAATCTTTATTAATCTCTATTACGGTAAATATTGTATCTAGGTCTTGGTAACAAGTTCATTTCTTAAAAAAACGTCTAGCTAATTTGCCACTAAAGCAGAAAACTAAAAATATCCATTAACAAGTTGAAGTTTTCCAATAGATGTTAAAACGTTATTTAAAGATATCCACTAGTGTGGGCTTATATAGCATTATAGATTCCGTAGTCCACTATAGTGAGATATTTGGACTGCATCTCAATGTCTCCAAGACCAAACTATTGGTCTTTTCTAAGACTCCAATAAATGCACACCTGCGTGTCAAGGGACAAACAATCGAAAAAGTGACCTCAATGAAGTATTTAGGAGCTAACATCAATAGTCAGTGCGACCCGAAAAGAGAAATATTTTCAAGAATTGAGCAAGCGAGAAAAATCTTCGTGAGTATGAAATCATTTTTTACAAGACGAGACCTCAGTGCGGAACTCAGAACTCGAATGGCCAGATGCTACGTCTTCTCTGTGTTACTCTATGGATATGAGAGCTGGACACTGGATTCACAGACCGAAAAGGGAATAGAAGTCTTCGAAATGTATGTTGTACAGACGGATGCTGAGAATCTCTGGGTACAAAGGATCACCAATGATGAAGTACTCCAAGCGCATGCAGAAACAAAAAGAGATACTAACACCATCAAGGAAAGGAAAATACAATACCTGGGTCATGTGATGAGAGGTGGTAGATACAAAATACTGCGCCTCATAATAGAGGGTAAAGTGCAAGGAAAAATATCAGTAGGAAGACGTCAGAACTCATGGCTAAAAGATATAAGGAGATGGTTTGAACTCTCATCTGCGAAAATCTTCCGTGCTGCAGTTTCCAGAGCCACAATTGCCATTTGGATCACCAACCTTCGACAGGAGAGGGCGTGATAAGAAGAAGTGTGGGCGTAGCAATATTACATTGACTTGGTTATGAAAAATAAATGAAAAGACAGATAAACCGGTCAAACAAAATTCATTAATGCCACTTTTTCGTCCAGAAAATTGGGTCATTCTTTGGTCCAGAATATTGGTCCAAAACGCTTCTGCGGCGCTGCAAAAACGGTTACAAAAGTTAGTTACACTAGAATGGTTGAAAAAGTTTATGGTTAATTTTGAAATAATTCGACAGAAATTATTAACAAAGAGAGGTAGACTGTCAAAACTGTATTGGCACTAAGATTATGGCATTCCAAACTGCAGGCATCTCTGGGCTGCAGTTTGGAATGCCATAGGTTGGTTGCCAACCTGCATGTTTTCTTGGTATTAGTCTTGCACAAAAAGCAAGACCAAAACCAACATCAAGACTAGCGTTAAACTTGCCAGACAGAGACCAAAATCGACAAGCGCAAGAAATTTGTAAAACATAGACATAGCATGCAAGAGTCTTGCGGTTCTGCGGTTCTGTTGTCAATTTTTTCACGTTTTTTTTTTATTTATGTCTCATTTTTTTATAAATAATAATAAAAAGATCGAAATTTCTATTACCTCTCCCCTGCTCAACACTACTCATCTACAGTACGTCTATCCGTTCTGTAGCTACGGGGTATCCGGAAGGGGGGAAACGATATTCTCTCGATGTTTCTCGTAAAAAATTAGACGACGCGTCCCATCAATAAAAATTCGACAAATTTGCAAGTAGCCAATGAAATGAGTGGGCGGAGTGTTTTGCGGTGACAAAATATATTGCTGTTTATTTAAAAGTTTTTTGTCCGCATTCCTTCATGGACACAGATCCAGTAGACGTACTTTAGTTGTAGATGTAGATTATATGTGAGGATGGAAGTAATCACCGCAACCTTATAGATGTATTGTGTCCCTTTCTAGACATATAACTCATCATACAGTCTCAGGGCTTTGACAAAAGCCAGTCTCTGAGACAGTTTTACAGTGGTTAGTTCTCGATCTCCGATATCAGTCGTAGCATAGTTTATGGCACGAATGATTGTCGTGTCGGCGTATTCGGTGATGACGTGTTCTAGTTTTTAAAATCGTTCATTGCTACTATCTAAATGGCTAAGTTTAAGTGTGATTCCTGCCAGAAGGTTGTCTCGGAAAAGGACAAATATAAACTTCGCTGTAATGGAGAATGCCGCCGGTAAACTTTTGTATGTCCTGTACTGGGTTAGATAAGACAACAACAAAAATACTCTGCCAACAGAAGTACAACAATACCAGATTTTTCTGCAGTATCTGTGACTCACCCACGTTAAAATATCTTCATGACAAAGTAACTCTAGTTCAAAAATGGCAAGCCTCTCTAAACACTGTCGAAGCTCTGGGAACCTGTCTAAAGAAAAACAATGATCTCCTTCTAGTCATTACTGAGATGTACGATATTTTGAGTTACCATGACTCCAAGTGGAAGAGCCTGTACAAGAAAGTGGATGACATTCATAGCCTCCACACCAGTTTGGCTGATGGTAAACAAGAATCTTTATTCCATTCCATCACGGAAATGAAGGAAGATATTTTCAAATTGTCGTCTATTTTACTGAACAATCATGATCATTCTATTAAGGTCCAAGTTCATGACTCATCAAAGTTAGAGTTATCAAAGGAGTTGAGTGACTTGCGTTTGAGTGTCAATAGAATGGCACTAATGTTGGAAAAGTTGGCCTCCAATGAAAAGACAAATATTAGAAGTACCCCAAAAATAGAAAAAAAGTATAGTTCGACGTAGACTGACAATTCAGATAACCAGGACACAGTGGGAATTATTTCTCCAAAAACCATTACACCCACGCCTCAAGGATTGACACTCTGACTTCAAAACGGGTGTGCAGAACAAGAGCCACCTTGAGCAGCCGAAGGGCATAGGTATGTGGCCGCCAGGTACTGAAATGGTCACTGCGAATTCTTTTACAAGACCTTTAAAGTTATCGCCGCCAGCCCCAGATACTTCGTCCACAGGCTGCAAACACATCCTATCAAACACTGTTGATATCCGAAGTCTACCACCTTGCTCTGACTCGGCATCCGTAAATATACCGGGGGAGGTCAAATCTGTTAATATTGGTTCTGACAAGGAGGCTATTGCTGCCTGTAAGTCTCTTGGACTGAAAAATGTAGAAATTGTTGTGGAAGAAAGTGCGAGGAAAGATGGTGGGCTACATGTGGACCCGTTGACTCCGCCTGTGGTTCGGATGAGGCAAATGGGCATTATCTGCTAGCTAGATTGAGCGACCCTTCCATATTAAAACGTATTCAGCTATTCCTCGCCTATCTCCACGATGAACCCTCAAGTGTGTGTTTTGAATGGCACACCAATACCAGCATCAAATTACCTATGGCCTCAGAGAGATTTCCTAGTGACGCGGATTCCCTGCGTAGGTTATATTATCGCTTCCACAACGTGTATGGTATTGACTCAGCTGAAGTGGATGCGATCTTTCCGCCTTCAGGTCCTTCTTTTCAACGGAAAAACTTCAACAATTTCAGAGAATTATGGAAAGTCATACCAAGTATTTCTCCAATGGCTCTCCAAATAAAAATATTTTTTTAGGTGAAATAACGCGAACAAAGAATCAAAGACACTAAGTGCTACTTGTTTTGGGCTAAGATAAAGGGGTTAAGATAAGATTTGGGCTAAGGAACTTAACTTATCATCCTCTAGAATGAACTATTATGCTCTTTTTCAAATCAAACTCACTTCAAACCAAACCAAACCAAACGACTCTTTTGTTGATGTTTAATCATGAACAATTTTGGGTTTTAAAATTTTGATCATCTGACACACTGGTTAAAAGTCTAGTATTTAATATTTTTTGACTCTTAAATTATTATATCCATTTACAATTTTCCTATTGTAAAATTTTATTGATATGCCTTTTTAGTGTTCTGCAATGTCCGTGTATTAATGTAGCAATTTTAATGACGTATAATTTTTTTTTATTGATTTGTATTGTAGGACATTTTTCTATTATTTGTATATTTGTTTTTGTGCTTTTTTTGTTTTGTAAATGCTTTGTCGATGAAGCTATTTTGGCTTTTTGTACAATAAAGCGTTATTTATTATTATTATTATTTCCCCATAGAATCTGCATTCGCCGTTGCTTCTTAGCTTTAATATACTTCATATATACTGGCGTTTATGGAGGAGGCAGTGTCCTGTTAAAAATACCGTGAAAATCCGATTGTCCTTACCTAAATCAAGATTGTTCTTACCTAAATCAAGGAAAATCTTAAAAAATGTCTTAGATTATTAGAAGATTCTCATTCCAGGTTACGGATGGAGTCTTCCAAGTTCCGCTTTATGTCGGTTTCCACTTGGTAAGCAGAACGGTTCAGCTTCAGTTAGAAAAGCGTTTGCTTCTTTTTTAGCTAGATAACTCCCCATAGTCACCCCAAAAATGTAGTCCAATCAATAATATTTAAAGTCACAACAACTGGAACTAACTAATTTGGACCAAAAACTAACATCTATTCACAAGTCTATTCACATAGATATTTTATGTACAAAACTTAGCAGTGTTTGCTTCTTAATTAGAACGCTACGTATAAATGTTAGTATGGATATACTGAGACTTGTTTACTTTGGCCTAGTAGAGTCGATCCTACAGTATGGTCTGATATCCTAGGGATCCTCCTCTCACTTTCAAAAAACTTTCAACATGCAAAAAAAGATTTTAAGGTATATGCTTAATGTATCACCTGACACATCTTGCAGACCACTATTTACAATGCATAACATAATGTCATTTCCTAACATGTACATTTATCAATTAATTTTGAATATATATATTAAAAGAAATAAATTTCAATTAAACAGTGATTATCATTTTCATGAGACTAGATCTGCAAGTGATCTACATCTACCACACTCAAGGCTGACTGTGAGTCAGAATGCACCATCATACTTAGGCATAAAATGTTTTAATAAGTTTTCTAAAAGTGTGCCCAATTTGGATCAGGATAATTACAAAAACAAACTGCGGAGTTTCTTATTGAATACTGTATTCTAT